TTTCGTTCAAACTTTCCAAATACTCTCCAACACTCACAAAAAGAGGAAATCTACTTAAAAGACTCTTCTGTACGCATTGAGGCCTCTGGAATAACTTAAAAACATCGTTTTTTAGCCGTCTCTCGCCTTGCTCTCTTAGCTCGTTCCTGTCTCGTTTTGAGTAACTCACGTCTCCTGCGGAAATCCGGATCGCCCGGGCCGAGTGGAAATTGCTCGCTTACTCGTGCAAGAGCGCGCGCCCACTCACAACAGACAGTGTCACAAGAGACGGTTCAACGCAAATGCAGTCTCTTCGTGTAAGATACTGCGATTGGTGATCTTGTGATTCTTCTCTTTATATCTTTTACAGTGCGCCTCTTGCCCGATAAGCGCGCTGTACTTGGCAGTCTGCAAATCTCAAGTAGCTCTTGTAATAGGTGTGCTTTCAGAATACGACGTGTTTATTCACAAATAATGCCTCAAAGCCTTTTCGAAGGAGACATGCGTTACATCTGACATATGATTTTTCAGAGTGATCTCGTGGGAGTGTCTGGCGAAGTATCCTCACCATAACATTGTGCGGTTCAAGAGGGTCCGCGAGGAGACTAGATGAACCGCTTCTCCGAAAACCTATTGCCTTATCCACTCTTTTCAGTGGCGTTAGCGGGTGTACCCGGTACACTGTACCGCATCTACGATGCGTCAACGTCTTGGACTGACGCAGTTAATGCTTCTGCTTCATGGTACTGGGGAGATGCTTGGCTTTAGCATTTCCTCTCACGTACATAAGTACATGTTTTGCACTATCTACCTACTGCGCGGCTGGTAGTCATTGTTCGGAGCGTCCGTTTGACAGCAATAAGAGACGAAAACGCTTGCAAAGGTAACCCCCCAGTCTCTTGGTGCAACCACCCACTTCGGGAGACAAGAGTCTTCCGCGAGCCGAGAGTGTGGGGAGGGTACCACTTTTGGGCGAGCGCTAGAACCAATTTCCGGGCATCCCTGGCCGGAACCTATCGTGCTTCGGTTTGCCCATTGCTTACGCGATTTTCGCTCTCCACCGACAGATTTCGTTCAGACTTTCCAAATACTCTCCAACACTCACAGAAAGAGGAAATCTACTCAAAACACTCTTCTGTACGCATTGAGGTTTCTGAAATAACTTAAAAACATCGTTTTTTAGCCGTCTCTCGCCTTGCTCTCTTACCTCCTTCCTGTCTCGTTTTCAGCAACTCACGTCTCCTGTGGAAATCCGGATCGCCCGAGCCGAGTGGAAATTGCTCGCTTAGTCATCGAAGAGCGCGCGCCCACTCACAAGAGACGGTCTACCGCCAATGCAGTCTCCTCGTGTAGGATATTACGATTGGCCATCTTGTCATTCTTCTCTTTATACCTTCCACAGTGCCTCTTGCCCGATAAGCGCGCTGTACTTGGCAGTCTACAAACCCTAAGTAGCTCTTGTAATAGGTGTGCTTTCAGAATACGACGTGTTTATTCACAAATAATGCCTCAAAGCCTTTTCGAAGGAGACATGCGTTATATCTGACATATGATTTCTCAGATTGATCTCGTGGGAGTGTCTGGCGAAGTATCCTCACCATAACATTGTGCGGTTTAAGAGGGTCCGCGAGGAGACTAGATGAACCGCTTCTCCGAAAACCTATTGCCTTATCCACTCTTTTCAGTGGCGTTAGCGGGTATACCGCATCTACGATGCGTCAACGTCTTGAACTGACGCAGTTAATGCTTCTGCTTCATGGTACTGGAGAGATGCTTGGCTTTAGCATTTCCTCTCACGTACATAAGTACATGTTTTGCACTATCTACCTACTTCGCAGCTGGTAGTCATTGTTCGGAGCGTCCGTTTGACAGCAATAAGAGACGAAAACGCTTGCAAAGGTACCCCCAGTCTCTTGGTGGATCCCGCGC